TGGTATTTTATTACTCTATTTCTTATGTTTAGCTAGTTTATCTATTTTGATATTTATTGTGCTATGTGGTGTCAGGTACTGTTCTAAACTCATTTTTCACCAAACTGCTTCATAGTTTTCCTACCACATCTTATTGAAGAAAGAATCCATTCCCTAATTGTCCTTGGGTTTATCAAATACTAGACTGTTTTATTTCCTTCCTGGTTTTATTTAAATTATTCCATTGATTTACTTCTTTTTTTATCTAATAGATACAGTTTTGGCAATTAGCAATATAGAATATAATGTGAGCTCTCATAACTTCAAACTCTCTGTATTCCTACTTTTTTCATTTTCTTTTTTTCCAATTACATGCACAAATTTTTTAACACTCATTTTTTAAAATTTTGAGTTCCAAATTCTCTCCCTCTCTCTCTCCCTTCTTTCCCTATCCCCTCATTGAGAAGGCAAGCACTTTACATATGCAGTTATGTAAAACATATTTCCATCTTTGTCATGTTGTGAAAGAAAACATGAACAAAAAAAATAAAGAAAAATAGAGAAAGTTTTAAAAAGTATGCTTCAATCTACATTCAGACTCCATCAGTTCTTTTTCTGGAGGAGGGTAGCATTTTTCATGCTTTTTTTCATTTTCAAACAGCTGTTTTATAGACCAAGATTATTGTATGATGGTCCTCAAATTCCCAAATCATGTCATTGGGGAATAGCTAGTGTTTGGTCCTGGACACAATATGGTGCATTACATGTGATACTTGGGAGATTGGCAGGCACACTGACTAACTGAACAACCAACCTTAGGATATCCGCAAATGGAAGATTTTCATTCATTGACTATAAAGTGACCCACACGTGATGACTTGGGAAATTCTTCTAAGCCTACCTCAAAACAATCACCTTCAGAAATACTGCTCTTCATCCTTCTCTCATAGCCTAGTCTCAGATGATCTTCCTTAGCTATATCTCCTGCTGTCAGATTCATCCATTCATGCCGTATGTACTCATCTATCTCTCCTAGAATTTCTTCTTCCCTCTTGTTGCCTGTTATCTTTCCAAACTCAGCTCATATCCGAGTTCCCTCGTGAAACCTGCTCAGCCCCTAGTGACTTTTTCCTTCTCTGATCTCCTAGAGGCCATGGAATGAATGATAGATAACTTGAAATGCTTCATGTCACAGAACCTGAGTTCAAATCCCAAGCTTGTGACCCAGAACAAATCACTTAACTTCCCTGGGCCTCAATTTCTTCATATGTAAAATAAAGGGGTTGGACCGAACAGTCTCTGAGATAATTTCCAGCTCTAAATCTATATTCCTATGATCCATAGCACTTAAAATCAATCAATCAATCAACATTTATTAAGCACCTACTGTGTACCAGGCACTCTGCTAAAAGTCTGAACCAGTCATCTGGCGGTTGGTTGTAGGTGGCCTTGTGACATCTTTTCTGTTGTTGTTTTGAAGTGGAGGATGTAGAATCACTTGAGGATTTTGTGGAGGAGTTCCCCACTTAGGTATGGCTGCCCTTTGGAAAGGATCCCTTCCAGATCTGAGGTTCTGGGACTTTGAAGTACTTGAATCTAATTAATATGCTCCCTTTTCAAATTTTCTTAAAGCATCTTGGTTCTCTCCCTCCCTCCCCCAACTCCCTATGAAACACTATCTTGTACTTTAATTATCTGTGATCATGTGACATTAGTGCCCTGTGCCACCCCACTTCCACCCCCAGATACGAAGACTTTTAGGGCAGGGACTGTGTCCTTTTAATTTTGGAGGATTTAGACTTGGGGTTTCTATGGTGTAGGTAGCTCCCTCTTCTAGAGCAGATCAGCGATTCTTTTGCCCTTTACAGAATTAGAGAGTTGTTAAAATACTAATGAAATAAGTGACTTGCTCAAGGTTATGTAATCAGTATATGTCAGAAGCTGGATTTGAATACAGATCTTCCTAACTGTGAAGGTGATCATCCACTGTAGGCTGTTACTTCTCAACCGCCATTGAAGAAAACAAAACAAAAAACCCAACCCCCCAAAAATTTCATACCCCCCTCCCATGTCTAGCATGGTGCTTTTCAAGTAGTACACACTTGATAAATGTTTGTAAATTACTGGCTAAGTTACCCAATCTGTAAAATGGGGGAGGTCGGACTAGCTGGGCTCCAAAGGTCCTTCTTGCTCTGATATTCTATGGCAACGTATTGCTAGTGCCTTCCCTCTATCTCTGTCTTGTCGGTACGGATTGTTTCCAGATTGTCTCCTCCATTAGAATGGAAGCTTCTCCAAGGGAGTGACTTTTATGCTTTCCAGCGTATCCCCCAGCTCTTAGCACAGTGCTTGGTACATAGTAAGCCCTTAATAAATGCTTGTTGGCTTACTGTTGACTGGTGGGATCTTTTCACCTGCCTCCTCAAGACTGTGACCTTCCCTAGAACCAAGTCTCCTATGTTTTGGTATCCCCCTTTCTGTGCCCAAGCCAGGGCCTTGCGCATTGTAGGCTCTGGATGAACAGGTAAGTGAAGTCATAACAAGCAAACCCCCCATTGGAGACTGCCTTCGGCCGTTTCACCATCATTTCGGTTGGTTCAGCAGATGCTTTCCTCGAAGAAGCTACAAACCATATGTTAGATGTGGGGCCAGATGAAGCTTTGATACCAAACACCAAAAATGTAGGACATCTTCTGAGAATTTAATATGCATTGCTTTATGTTTTGTCTCTTACGCAAAGGTTTTCTTTGTTCAAACAAATATGTATAAAGAATTTATGCAGGGCACATGGTCATGCATATTGATTGCAGCAAATCTGTTAATAATCTGTGTCTCGTTGGGGTTTGCGTTTCTGTTGGAAAAACAAATGTGAAGCTGAATGCATTCAGGGAGTCTCCATGTTGCTCACTGTTGGGGGAAAGAGGGTGCTTTCCATCTCTGTTAAGAGTCATTTGCTGCCATACTCAGGGATGTTAGAATAGATAACTGTCTGTGTAGGCAGGAAGGCAGGAAGGAGAAGGGAGGAAAGAGAAAGAAGGGAAAAAGGAGAGGGAAGGAAAGAAGAAAGAAAGGAGGAAGAAAAGAGAACAAAGAAAAAGAAAGGAAGGAGAAGGAAGGAAGGAAACAAATAAGCGTTAATTAAGTGCCTATTACATGCCATTTGTGGTTGTTTAGTCATTTCAGTCATGTCTGACTGTCCATGACCCCGTTTGGGGTTTTCTTGGCAAAGATAATGGAATGGTTTCCCATTTCCTTCTCTAGTTCTCATTTTGTAGATGGGGAAACTGAGGTAACCAGGGTTAAGTGACTTGCCGAGGGACACACAGCTAGTATCTGAGTTCAGATTTAATTTTTTTATTTCATTTTCCCCCTTAATTACATATAAAAACAATTTTTAACATTTTTTTCTTTTGAATTTTGAGTTCCAAATTCTCTCCTTCCCTTCTCTCCCCCCTCCCTGAGATGGTAAGCAATCTGATATAGATTATACATATGCAATCATGCAAAACGTGTTTTCACATTAGTCATTTTGTGGAAGAAAACTCAAAGAAATAAAAGAAGAAAAAGAAAGAAAAAAGAAAGAGAAAAACAGTATGTTTCAATCTACATTTGGACTCTGTCATGAACTCTGGTCTTCTTGATGCCAGGTCCCAGTGTGCTATCTATGGCACAATCCAGCTGCAATGCAGTGTTACGTGGCATGATGTGGTATGGCATGAGGGCCCACGTACAATGCTCCTGCCTAAGGATACCACCACTCTTCCCTCTCTGCCTGCTGCCGGCTCAGTTAAATCACCTCCTTTAGGTTAAGGCCTATCTTGCAGGCCCCTAATGTATTACAAGTATGTTTCTTGGGAGGTGGAAACTCAGTAGCCCTTGTCCAGCATTAATTAATGGCAAACATAGAGTGAGGCCCTGAGGGACAGGCCTGTTTTGATGGAGAAAGGGTCAGGATGGTAGGAAGCTGCCGGATAGCAGCCCATGGGAAGCCGGGGAAGGGGAGACGTGCAGGTGTGAGTCATCTGAGCAGGGTGATGGGGTGGTGGTGGCTAGAAGAGGATGCCTGAAATGACCTCTGCCTGAGGCTGGCTTGTTTCATGTTTATTTAAGTGGAGCAGGGGAAAGAACACTAGATTTGGAGAGAGAAAATCTTGGTTCATATCCTGCCCCTGTCACTTAGTGCCTGGAAGTGTGTCATTTCAATTCCCTAAGCCTCAGTTTCCTTATCTGCAAAATGAGGGGTTGGGCTTGACCTATAAGGTCCCTTCTGGCTCTGAATCTCTGAGCTGCATTAATTAGGTATGCAGTCTTAGCTTCAGTGACTTTACATATATCGTCCCATTTGATCCTCCCAACTACCTCCCTGGGCCTCAGTCTCACTGCTTGTATAATGAGGAGTTGATCTTGCTTATCTATAAGGTCCTTTCTGGCTCTGAATCTATGATTGCATGAATCCTGAGTGGCATGAATCAGGTACGTGCTCAATGAACCTCACTCTTCTCATCTGTAGAATAGGGACCATATCGCTTCCACTAATAATGATGGCTAGCTTTGATGTGGTGCTTCAGGGTTTGCAAAAATGTGCTCTTGATTGATTCTCCCAACAACTATAATATACTTTTATTGTCCTCGTTTTGTTGCTGTTCAGTCATTTTTCAGTTGTGTCCAACTCTCCATGACCCCATTTGGTGTTTTCTTGGCAGCAATACTGGAGTGGTTTTCCATTTCCTTCTCCAGTTCATTTTACAGATGAGAAAACTGGGGCAAACAGGGTTAAGTGACTTGCTCAGGGTCACAGAGCTAATAGGGAGGATTTGAACTCAAGTCTTCCTGACCCCCAAATCCTGCACCCTATCCACCATGCCACCTAGCTGCACTATTTATTAAGTGGTTTTGAGGGAAGTGCTTGTTAAGCTTCTAAGGGCATTAAAAATGGGGGCGGTTATAAGTTATTGTCAATATGTGCTATTGAGACCGTGGAATTGTCTGTCTTTAGCTTTAACTAAAATATTTGCATTTAGAGACTGGCAAGGTGTTTACGTGGGGCCGCGCTGATTACGGTCAACTCGGGAGGAAAGTGGACGGCCATGAGAGATGTAAAGGAGAGTGTGAATTACCCCTGTTCTGCACAAGAGCACTGACCGCCATGCCTTCTTCCCTTCCTTGCTTAGCAGGAGTGACTGAGGTGAGGAAGAAATTGTTTTCTAAGTGAATTTTCATTTAATAAATTTCTTCAGACTCGAGAGGAGGGTCTTGGCCATCTAGACATGTGGTGACGAGGCTGGGCCTATATAGGTCACACTGTAGGGAGCCGATAACAGTGATGAGAATGCTGTACTCAGTCAATGTATGGAGGTTTCTGGGCTGTTTTTTCTTGGGTTTGTCCTTCACTTTTCTGGACGTCCAGTTTTGTGTTCCGTAAAATACTATGAGGGAGTTGGCCTAGATGGTCTCTGAGCTTTCTCCCAGGTCTGAAGGTCTTCGATTCCAGGGTTTTCCTTTGAATTCTCCTTGGCAGCCTTGTCTTCTAATCTTTCACATTCCCCCATGGGAAGGGGACTGCCTTGTTCCATGGCTTCCTCTCTGATTACCTTAATTTTTCTATTTCTGGTTGGCCTATTGTTTTCCCCTTGAATTGAGTTCTGTTAGTAAGCTTAACAAAACAACACACACACACACACACACACACACACACACACACACACACACACACGATGTGTCCTAGCAGTGATAGGGCAGCCTGTACTTCTGAGCTCAAGGTGGATTTAATGGAGTGACTCAATCTGTGTTCCAAGCCTGTTGAAAAAATTAATAAGCCAGCAATCTTTCTGCAATTACCATCAGACTAATTACAATTCTTTTCCTACTTAGAAGGTTTTCTCACCCAGGAGGCCTGACCTGGCTCATCTCTGGCTTATGTAGGACACGCATCTTTCTGCCTCGCCAACTGTACCAGCCCAGGCCTTACAAGCCCTCTTCCTCCTCCTATCTGTACTTTTCCCTTTTCTCCTCCTCTTCTCAGTCCTTCTTCTTCCAATATAGTATTAAGAGCAGGGTAGGCCAAGGTTTCTGAGCCTTTTTGTGTCAGAGTCTGGTGAGCCCCATGGACTTCTCAGAATAATGCTTTTAAATGCATAAAATAAAATGCATAAGATTGCAAAAGAAATCTATATTGAAATATAGTCATTAAAATACTGAAAAAAACCTCCAAATTCGTGGATCTTAGACTAAGTACCACTGGAGGAGGGAGATCTTTTTCTAAGATAAAAAAAATTATTATTTTGCTGCTGTTTGTCCTTTGTTCTCGAAGAGAGCCGTGACATCAGGGAGGTAATGCTGTGACATGCAAGTGAACTGGATTTAAGTGAGGGAAGGCTGTGCAAAGTCACCACCTTACTTTCTCCTCCAAAGCCACCTGGGTCTAGCGCAGAGATATGGATCAGGACAACTGGAGATGGACAGGATGCAGTAGGGGACGTTGGCCTTTTCAAACTAAGGTCTTTAACAGGTCTTAGTATGACTGAGGCAGCGCTCATTCAGTGATTAAGGCTTAAAAATGAGCTAAACAATGGTCTCTTTCTAAAAAAGTAAATCCTGGTGAAGAAGACTCTCTGGGTTTCTGGCCAAAACAGAAACAACTGTTATTTGCTTTCATTCTGAGCCAATCAGAGCTCGAATAGTGACCAAGTAGGGTTTTGTCTGGAGCTGAGCACTTAGCACATTGCCTGGAATATAGTAGATAGCTGATGAATGCTTGTTGGCTGCTTGACACTTTCCACATTTGTAATTAATTAATTGTTAATATAAAGAGATGATGTGGTCTTAAATCTGGATAGGATGGTGCCAAGACGGTTTTCTTTGACTTTAATTTGCTGCCTTGTCCATATTCTTTCTGTTCAGATTATTATGGTCGCTGTGAATATTGTTCTTTCGGTTCTACTTTCTTTACTCTGCATAATTTTATAAAAGTCTTCTGTGTTTTTCTCAATTCCTCACACTTGCCTTTCTTTATAATGTAGTGATTTTTGTTCTTACAAAATATACTTCTGTGGATATTTTTGTAGATATAAGGCCTTTTCTTACTGTCAGCAATTTGGAGTATAGTCACAGTAATGCGTCAAAGAATGTGAAAAAAAAAGAATGGGAATTTTCTTGCATAATTCCAAGGCTTCCCATCACCCCTCTCCAGAACAGCTGAACAAATTTACAGCCCCATTAGAAGTGAATTAGTGTGCCTGCCTTTGCACAGCCTCTCCAACAATGAGTTTTACCATCTTTGCTAATTTGATGTGTATGAAATTATAATAATGATTACAACAACCATAGCAGCAACCCAATGTTTACATGATGCCCTAAAGATTGCAAAGCGCTTTACATACATTGATTCAATCATTAGATTGCTTCCCATTTTTCCTAGCAGGGCTTACCAAATGGAGTTCTTTCCCCAGTAGTTTATGGTCTTGGATTTGTCCAATGGTATCTGTGAATTTTCTCTTTTATCTATTTTATTCTATTTATCTATTTTTCAGTTTTTTATCTAGTACTATGTAATTTTTTTTTTTTTTTTTACAACGGAGAAGTATATGGCAAACCACTCTTGTATCTTTGCCAAGAAAACCCATGGACAGTATTGGCATGCTATAGTCCATGGGGTCACAAAGAGTTGGAAATGACTGAATGACTGAAAAACAACATATAATTTTTGTAATTATTGCTCTAAAATGTAGCTTGAGATCCTCTAACAGTAAGCCGTTTTCCTTCTTACTTTTTTTTACTGTATCTCCTGAAAGGTCCCCACATGAATTTTGTTATTATTTTTGCTTAATTCTATAAAAGTAGAATAATTTTCTAGGTATAGCAAGACATCTGTGGGATGATGTAGGTAGTCTTAGCATTTTTGCTCTACTGGTTTGGCCTGATTTTTTTCCAGTTGTTTAACTTTTTAGTTCTGTAAACATCATTGCATGAACATAAAACCTGTGTATGTGTGTGTGTGTGTGTGTGTGTGTGTGTGTGTTTTGTGTGTGTTCTGGTATATTTTTAGGAATAATACATCCTGTTATTATCTTAAGGGGAATTTCTCTTCCTAGTTCTTCTTACTGGATTTTGTTAGTAATACGCAGAAAGTCTAAAATTTTTGTGGATTTATTTTCTATCATGCTACTTAGCTTATCTATTTTGTTCATTCTATAAGGTTCCCTAAGTAAATTGTGATATTATTTGCAAAAAAAGTCATCTTGCCTTCTTTTGCCTATGTTAATTCCCTTAATTTCCTTTTCTTGTATTATTACTATAGCTAGCATTTCTAGCGCTATGCCAAATAGTCTTAATGGGAAGGCTTCCAGTGTTTTTCCATTACAAATAATGCTTGCCTTTGGTTTTAGATAGATGCTTTTGATAATATTAAGAAACAATCTCTTTATTTCTATGATTTCAAACATTTTACCATAAGTAAATGCTATATTTTGTTAAAGATTTTTCTGTTTATTGATATAATCATGAAATTTTTATTATTTTTTGTTATTAACATAGTTAATTATGTAAATTGTTTTCCTAATGTTGAACTGGCCTGGGGATATATCCAACATGGTTATAGTGAATAATTTCTCAAGATACTTCTGTAGAATCTTTGCTAATATTTAATTTTTTGCATCAGTGTTCTTTAGTTATGTTTTGCCATTACTAAAAGTAAGTGGACTGGTCACGTAGTGTAAGGGATAACCAATGGAATGTGCACAAGTGTATCCTCATCCTGGCAAGAGATCTAGAGGTAGGTCACCTTCACATTCAATGGATCCTGTAGAGAAGATTTATAGGAGAAAATGGGCAAGACAATAGTTTGCACAGAATGAGAAGGCATGGCTGGACTGAAATCTATACTATTAGAGGGAATAACTACATTGATGAGATTGTAGATCATTTAAAGTTTCAAAATATTAATTAGTTTTATTGGTTTATAGTTTTCTTTCTTTGCTTTTTTTCCTTCTTATCTCTCTCTGTTTAATATGCCAGGACCATGTTGATCTCAATAAAGGAGTTTGGCAAAGTTTTTCTCTATTTTTGTGAATTTTTATGTAGTATCAGGATTATTTACTCTTTGAACGTTGATAGAATTCTCTTATAAATCCATCTGGACCAGGAATTTATTTGTCTTTTGAGAGTTCATTTATGGCCTGTGGAATATCTCTTTTTAAGATTCTTTTTCTAAGGTTAGATTTTCCATTTCCTGTTTTGTTAATTTGAGAATTTTATATTTTGGTAAATTTTCATTTCATTTGTTTTTAGATTTGTTAGTATGTAATTGAGTCTAGTAATTCTTGTAATTTTCTTTCTTTTTCATTCATTGTGTTTTTCATTCATTGTGAATTCTTGTTTTCATTTTTATCTTTGAAATTCAGTTTTTTCTCTTTGAAAAAATCAAATTAGGTAATGATTTGCTATCTTTATTGATCTTCACAAAACAGCTCTATTTTATTTTTAGCTACTTTTTATTTTCAATTTTGTTTATTTTTCTTTGGTTTTAAACAATTTCTAACTTTGTGCTTGTTTTGGGACTATTAATTTGTTAAATTATCAGTTTTTTTAAAAATACATGCTTAGCTAATTAGTATTCTCTTCCTCTTAATATAAATATTCAGAAGTTCAAAGGTAATTTTTTTTCTTTAAGAACTACCTTAGCTACATGCCATCAGTTTTGGTATATTGTTATGATTCTCTTTAATATAATTATTATGATTTTATTTGATCTACTCAATATTTAGCATAACATTATTTAGTTCCATTGAAGTGTATTTCTTTTGGCTATATTTCTCTTACTGAATATAATTTTGTTCGATTTATCTGTATTGATTATAATAGTGCAGTTTTTATTGCATTATTACCTATAAAGGCTTCAGTTAATATTTCTGCCTTTTTGCAGTTGTTTATGAGTTCTTTATATCCTATCATGTAATTTTTATAAAGATGTCATGTGAAAAATGAGAATGTTCCTTGAGATTCCACTTAATAATTCTCAAAGGTCCATCATATCTATTTTTTTCCAACATTGTATTGAGATGCATAATTTCCTTATTGTTAGATTTGACTAGGTCTGAAAGAGGCATATTAAAGTCATCTATAATTATTGTCTTGTTTTGTTCTTGTTCAAGTCAGTTAGCTTTTACTTTAAGCTAGATGCTATATCAT